TATATATATATATGTATATAAAAGTACATATATGTATAGGTACACGTTTACCTTTCGTATTTTAACTAGCGTCAGGGATCGATTACGAAAATGACGATAAAAAGAAGAACAAGTGACAAATTTATTATTCATATTTATATAATATAATATTATATATTTTATTATTTATAAAAAAATATATATGTATATATATATATATTTTAAATTAATTTTAAATTTATTTTATATATATTTAATTATTTTTTAATTGATAAATGACGTAGATATAAATATATATATATATATATATATCTTTCTATTTAATTATTTATAGTTTCTGATTTGACTAGTTAAAAAGAAAAAAAAAGATAAAGGAAAGATAAAAGAGAGAGAAAAAGGGAGGAGTGGGGGGTGGGGAAGCACGTTGATTTGACGCGTTGTTATCTCTGTAATACCACCGGTACCTCATCATCTACTCTCTCACTCGTTCTCTTATTACGTAACGAGTCTCCTCTTCAACCGAAAATGAGAATGCCCTCCTATTAAAGTAGTCAAAGACTATATAAGTCAGACGAAGAATGATATAACTTTTTGGACAAATGATGAAATGATCAAATGATAAATGAACAAAACAATAACACATAATCTTGAGAAACTTGATACTTTTCGTGTTGTACAGTCTCTTTTCTTTTTTTTTTTGTCTAGAAAATTATTAAGGAAAAGGGATTTCTTATTTTAAGTGAAATAAAATAAAATTTACATGACTAACCATGATGCTTCGAGGTCCTCAATCCCAAACCGTTGATCCTCTTGGTCAATTCAGCGCTAGCTCTCTCAACGACACCTTGAGCTGATATCGAAGACATGTCGTTTATTATCGATGATAAAATAAAATCTCACCAAACACCTTGTATTTTTTTTTTCTTTCTCTCCTTTTTTTTTATCCAAAGAACTTTTGTTACAAATGACAATAATTTTTCTCGATGAGATAAAAAGTTTAGTCAAGAATAGAAACACGATTTCGTCCGTCCCTCGTGAAATCGCGACATGTTCGATCGGCGGTTAAGTCGGAGAGTCACCTCCTCCGCCGTGTTGTATGTATGTGTTGTGTGTATGTCTCTGCCTGGTGTCTCCTCTTCCTAAGTTCTAAGGTTTCCCTTTAACGGTAGACATAAAAGCTTCTTCCTTCGGTGTCTTCAACCCTAGTTTCAGAACCTACCACCATCATCTTTACCAACCTCCCCAAACAACCCCTCCACAACCACCACCACCACCACCACCACACCTCACCTCACCACCTCTACCTCTGCTACCAACCACCCTTACAGATTACACACTGGTCTCATTTCATGGACCGATGATTTTGTCGATCCTAGAAAAAAAACTCTAACTGCTTGTTATGTAAATATAATTTTTGCAAAAGGGGTTGCTTAAATTGTATTACTTTTTTTTTTTTGTTCGACAACTATTCTCGATAAACACGAGTTTGATTTAAACGATGTTAAACTAGAATCGTGTTTAAATGTTATTATTTCTTTCGTTAACACTCACCACCACCACCACCACCACCTTCTTTCCCTTCTTCTAACTTTAAACGAATCTATTGTTTATAATAACTTTGAGCGTCGTCGGACGTAAACGAGGTGGAAAAAAAAACCTCCCCCAAAAGGTGGAGCTGAAGCATCGGCACACACGGGGGTGGTTTGCGCGAGACTGAATCGATATTCAAACTAAACTTGCCCGAACTGCCCCCACTTAATTCGACATGAGTGTAGTTTCCAGGCGCGGGTCGACTCGCGGTCTATCTCTCTCTCTCACAYACTCTTTGTTTTATTTTATCTATCTATCTATCTCTCTCTCTCTTTCTCTCAATATGCCTTTTAAAACGAAACGAGTATTACGACAAAGAGAAATTTCTTCAGAGACTCTTCTCTTCTCTTCTATCCTTGAGTGTTGTGTGTTGGTTGTATCACGCACGAGTTTAAAAGCTTAGAATTGCTGATCTCTTAATGGCGTATAAAACGTGAACATATTACTAATAAACTAAAGAAACGATAGATTGTTGTTTCTAATTAATTCCGAGGACAAATCAAAAAGTAAAAGATTGAAGAAGGGTGTTTGAATTTTTAAATTGATTTATAGTAACTGTTGTCACATTTCCATTTGATTTTGTTATTTATTGGTATTGTCGTTCGATAATAAATGTTTTCTTTGTTTTTATTAAATTGTTATTGGGAAAACTTAAACGCGATGACCGACATTCGAACCGATATGCTTGCGATTAGATACACGCTTCAAGGTTCTTGCCTTGGTGTTCTCGACAAAATCAATTGCCCGTTCGTTTCTTCCTTCCTTCATTCGATGCTCGTGCTTATGTATTAATATACATATATATATGTAATATAACTATTCATCGACGTATTAAATAAATACAAATTCTTGTTCACCGAATGCATTTATTCAATCGTCAGACTTCGTTAGTTTTGCATTAATCAAATTTTTCTATAGTGAAATCGATGAATAACGATGGAATCCATGGATTGGTTTTTACAAAGAGAAAGAGTAAAAGGAAGACATCTTAAATTTATTTCAAATAAACTATATTTACTCTACTGTCTCGTATATTATCGTATCGTATCGTATCGTATCGTATGAATCATTAATTAGAGATAGCTATCTATCGCTAGTCATACTAACTTCTTGTCAAATGTCACGGATACGTTTATTCGTTCGTTTACGAATCAAACTCAGACTTGATTAATTATTTATTTAATTTATTTATTTATTTATTTCTTTTCTATTTTGTCATTCTTATTTAGAATTTGAAATCATGTGACTGACAATCTTTATTAATATCTCATTTATTAATTTCATCCTAGTATCTCAAATGATCATCGATCGCAAATATGGAGGAGGGGGCCATTTTTGTTTTCCTACCACGTTCAGGGGGCCATTTTTGTTTTCCTACCACGTTCAGGGGGCCATTTTTGTTTTCCTACCATTTTCAGGGGGCCATTTTTATTTTGCTACCACGTTCATCAGGGAGACATGTTTGTTTTGCTACCACGTTCACCAATTTTTGAAACGTGTGAAGAAATTTTGAAAATTATACGATAGAAAATAAGAAATTCTTATCAGGAGAATTATTTGAACAATATAATAACATTTCTATTCTATTTTTTTTTTTGTTTTTTTATTACTCTTGAGATTATGAGCAATCATGAAAATGCATAATATCAATTTATTATAAATAATATAACGCAAAAGCAAATAGACTTTATTTTTAATACGAAAAAAGATACACTAGATTTTCATTAAATTGATTAAAAAATATGTAACATAAAAAGATTGTTAAACGCGCGGTGCCGTATTTTATCATACTAAAAAATATGAATAACTAGCGTACGTATAAACATCATTTAAACATTATACAGAAAAGACTACCTAACATACATATACATATATGTATATATATGCTTGAACGCAAACTAAATCAATTTTCGTATAAAGATAAACTCATGATCACGTTTGTTCATACTACTTCATAAAAGATAAGAGAAAACACTATGATTACGTAAAGATAAATGTTTGAATTTCTTCAAAATGGGGTAAAAGAGATAAAATGTATGAAATAAATTTTGAACGGTGCTATACCTGTATCCTTCTTACTCATGTTAATAACACCTTTTGTTGTTGTTGTTTTTTTTTTGTTTCTTTATAATTGTAGATTATACATAACTAACGATCGATTACTTTCCATGCTTCAACTCTTATCGTGAGAGTTAATGTAATAAACAAAGAAGTTATATCGTGCGATTAATATCCATGATTGTTTTAATGTTACATAATAATAAGAGATCTTTTTTTATCTAATACGTCTTAATTGTTTAATAACAGATAAATTTGATCTATTCTATTTAAAAAAAAAAAAAAAAAAAGAAAAAAAAACTAATAAATTTTACCGTTCTTTTATCTAAACCTTATCTTTAACTGTTTGTCTCTTAGCATTATGAATTTAATATTTCATATTTTTTTTCTTTTTCTTTTTTCTTTTCACTTTTTTTAAATCTAATTGTAAGATGTAATACATTAACAATGTAATAATTCGACTTCCATACTTTGAACTGCTATAGTATTATTTTCTTTCTTTCTTTCTTTCTTCTCTTTTTATTCATTTAACTTTAATTACGATTCGTAAGTATGTCATAAAGCTGTTATCATCACTTTCTCTAGCTTATGCACCTACATCATGTTCAGCTATGTATTAAAATCCCAGCAATTTACTTGTAAAACTTGTCAAATGTTCCTTTTTAAGACACAGGAAACATTTATTTCCGTTTGGTCCAATAATACCCATACATGTGCAACTTGAAGATTTTTGTATGAGCCATGCCTTTAGACACTGTCATCTAATTAAAAAAGAAAGAACAAATATTATTATAAAATACATTGAGATACAATAATATTTATTAATTATTTGAATACTTTGTTATACTTACCGTGATACCACCATTTAGTCTTCTTTGGATTTTTATTACACGTTTTAACATAGAATGAATTATCCGGTGGCCTTTTCTAAAAATTCATTATAATCTTTTATTAAATAAATGTCTGTTGAATTATTTCTAATAAAACTTGTACCTTTTCTTTGCAACTACTTAGCATTGACACAATGCTCAAGCATACGCTTTGCACACTGAGTGCCGGTGACCAATCATCGGTTAAAATTGATAAGCAAATGTGACCATTACTATAAACATGTGGATGAACTGGTATATTACCAATGAATGTTACTTCTGGTGAATCAAAAGGATACTTCGAACTGAATTTAAATTGTAATTGAAATCTTTCACCCTCGTATAAGGTACCCTTTGCACCTTCCATGTGTACAATCCATTGCGTCAAATTTTGTCCAGCTGAATCACCATCTACTCTAACACCAGGTGGTGGTTCACGTATTAATGACATTAATTCTTTCTGTAACCGCCTCTGAAATCATTTCAATAAATTCATTTAATTTATACATTTCTTTGCACATAATTGACACATTCCATTAAATATCTATATACATATATATATCATATCTATAAATTAATAGGAAGTATGAATCATCAAGGACAAACTTCAAAAAGTTATCAGACTATAAGAAACATGAGAAATAAAATGAATAATGAAAAGAAAAAAAAAAAGGTAACTTTCATATAATTTGGTTATATTAAATGATAATTTTCATAGAAAATATTTCAATTCTATATAAATTCAATGACAATGAATAATATTTTAACAACTGATAGATAATTAAAAATGAATTAATAAAATAAGCGTTCCCAATTTGACAATATAAGTTTAATCTAATACGTGGACTCTCAACATTACATCTTATCATTTAACATTTATTTATAACGTTTAAAATAATTGTTCGTAATATTGTTATTTTTAATCTGAAAAAATGAACGATATATTTGTATCGAATTAACGTATATGCAAAAGAATTGTTTCTTTTGACAGGTGATAAGTGACATATTAAAGGAGCTTACTTTCGACGGAGACAGTCCCGCCATTGTCGTTAAACCACTTTCCATTGGAAAACATAACCGCTATTCATTGCGGAATGCAATAATTGTTTGTATTTCTCATTTTTTTTCTTCTTTTCTTTTCTTTTTTATTACCTCTTCTCTTCTTATTCTTTCACTTATTTCAAAGTTTTTAACATGAATTTAAACATTGAACATTTGCATTTTATATTATATTTTAATTTAGACTTGTATCACTCGATGCGTTCTAAAAGACAACAGCCCAAGCTTTTTCCATCAATATATTAAAGCTTGTGATAAAATACGATAAAGCCCAACCATAGGGCATAGACTGAAACGTCAAAGGTATAAAACATACAATTTGTCCGCCATGTTTTTTTATCGCGGCAATTGACATGAAACTAACGAAAACGATTGGTCGAGTTTCATCCTTAATGACCAATCGCGTACGTTATCGAGAACGATATATATACATCGATATATCGAATGGCTTTTAACTTTTCACGCGATGTATTTATTTTATTTATTAAAATTAAAACAAAAAATTGATATATTATTAATACAAAATTTTATTATATATATATATTTAATAATTAATATTATTTATGATCATAAACAATTTCTTTTTATTTATATACATATGTAATTATGAAATTTATGTTTTTTTATTTTTTATAAAATTGTTTGAATAATTATATATACATATATATATATATAAATGTTGTATTTACAATATACATTAAAGAATAGTTTTACATTATTGTTCAAAATAGTTATTGTAAAGATAAGGTAACAATGATCTTGTTGATATTTTATACAAAATGGTGACTAGATCTTGTTATTATAAAATCAGAAATATATCAAACAAAACATGTCAACTATATTTTTAAAAATTTATCCAGATACCAATTATGACCAGTCATTGTAGCTAAAAGACCGGATGTTAATATTTTGGCATCAGTAGAATCAAAATTAATAAAATGTCCATCATATAATGATGTTGTCTTTCCACCAAGTGCACTACATGTAAAAGAAGAAAAAATGATGATATTTATTTTAGAAAATAATAATTTAGTATAAATTTAATATTTACACTTAACCAACCGGTTGAAAAGATCTTCCTGTTTTGATGACCAATCAGGAAGATCTATTTTTACAGTTGGTTAAGTGTTAAAAAATTATCTACCTAATAATGGCTGTTCCAGAACATATATCCCACTTGTAAATAACATTTGTATGAATATACGCAGTAGCATTTCCAACAGCTACTTCTAAAAATTTATAACCTAAATCATAAAATATCATTTCTTTAATAACACAGAACAATATTGTATTTTGTTTCATTATAAATAATTTACAAAAAATATATGTATTAATTACCTGCACCAGCTGCAGAAACAATTTGAAAATCACCAAAAGCAATCTTGGAAGCATTATGAACTTGACCAGCATGTGACCTTGATACAATTAAAATTGGCGGTTCATTACTACTACGCTGTAAAGGCAAAACAAAAGCAGATGTTAATGAAAACATTCATATAAATAAATATAATTCATTATAGATAGATTACCTTGGGTAAATTGTATAAATTTGGTGATGAACCACGACCAACCCAAGCCCAATATAATTTATGTTCTTTCTTAGTTTCAAATGGTTTATAAATAACACCTATTACAGGTTTTCCTTTAACAGCTATGCAAACCATAGTAGTTACATATTGTAACAAATTTTCAGTGAATTCTTTGGTAGCGTCCAAAGGATCAATCCAAATAGTAATATCTTCGATATTTTCAAAGTCATCTACGATGTCATATTCTTTGAGACTACTAACAGGAACCCAAGGATCAGGTACAAATACTTTATCACAGTCTTTTGATGCTTCTTCGGATATCACAGTAATGCCTGAAAATGTATCCTTTAAAGAATGATACATAACACAATGTGATCTATAATCTGCTGCAGTTACTGGATTATTTACACCTATTTAAAAACAAAAAAAAATATACGGTAAGTTAACAAAAAAGAATAGTCTCAAAAATAAATAAATATATTGTCTTCAAAATAATAAACATATTTACCTTCTTTAGTTTTTCCTTTACTTTCAATGTTAAACGTTGTTTGATCATGTACATAAACAACTTCATATCCACCTAATTCGGCTGCTTTTATAGCTGCATTTAACAACAATCTAAGAGAAACTACATTTTTACTATTTGTATTTAATATAAATGATTTTTTTGAAAAGAAATAAAGTGCAGCTAATAATAATAATATCCCACAAAAACTGAACCTTTTCGCGCGTATATTCATTATTAACATGTGTGTTTATTAATAATTAAACTTTTACATATATATTTATAATCATTCAAATATTAATATTGTGTCACAAATTGTTTATTGTATAAAAATATGGATAATTATTCATTCGTATACGTCGTCAATATGATATATTTGTTAATAAAATTTGGATGTATTGAAGTTTGCCCCCAGCTTGGTTTCTTAATACCAAACACTGAAGGAATCTTGCAGTTCATTGGTAAGGATAGATGGACCTGGGAGAAATTTCTCCCAGCTTATCTAGGGGGGGAAAAGTGTTGAATTCAAGTATGGGAATCGTGTGACCTCCCGCCCCCCCATCCTTCCCCCGTTTATAATGGGAGGTGGTCAATGAAAATAGCAGAGAGCTTTTTGGTTGATATTGCGAGCCACACCTACATGAGGACGGGCCACCCTCTCCTCCCCCCACCTGCTGGGGGTATCTTTTGAAAATTTTTATCCCTATAGTAAAAAAAAACTATATCACGTGATACACATAATACGTAAAAATGGCTTGTGACTTGTATTTGCACTAGGGTGTCTGATTACAAAGTCAAAACAGAGTTTGTATGCACTACTTTGATTAAATCAGTAAGACCATAGATATGGTTTTACCACTTGTGGGTGTATACATTTTGTTTACTCACGTATGTATACAATTATTACAATGTTTATTAGCAATGATTGTTTTGCAAATTATCGGAAAAATCGTATAACAAAATTGGCGCGTTTAATTATAACAGATTTTGAAATGAATGAAAATAATACTAGAAAGAAAGTTTGTACAACTTCCGGTTTATCAATTCTTACAATTTTACTCATATGTAAAACTTATTTATTCTTTTTTAAATATATATATCCTAAATATACTTGTTAATAGCAAACATGTAAAATTATCTAACAGCTGGTAAACTTTACAGTCTTACCAACCTACAGATACTTCATTCTAGTTACTATTAACCTTTCTAACCTAGTAATTATTACTAAAGATAAAACATATAATTATTTTAGAAATGTGTACATTGGACTTTAAGATTATATTGTAAATAATAAACAATGATTTATATTCTTCCTATTTTTATGTTTTTTTTTTTAAACCACACTTTCAGCAAATTGCTTTTTTGATGCAACTTTTCCTATTATGATCATTTAATGATATCACATCATGTTCTTGATAAATGAAACATGTTTGAAGAGATTCACCATATAAATCAATCTTTATATTTTACAAAACCATATATTATAAATCAAATTATATACTGTATATTTTAACATTAGATTTTTACCACCATTTTCAGTATACCTATGTCTACTACACTAGTCAAAATGACTGGTGTATACAAAGAAATGCTTATTGAGGCTTTCAGTCTTTATTTACTCTTAAAAATTAACAAATAAAGTTGAACAATATTAATTTTAATAGATAAATGGATTTATAGACCATTTTCAAAGAACAAAATGCTTCAAAATGTACTGCCCTTAAAGGTTACCTTTACTGTGTCACTGAAAATTAATGATATCTTATTGTTATCATCAATATCAATAATTTTCTTTATTAAATCTATCAAAGAATCTTGTAAAGAACAATAAAATGATTAATTATTTCTATTATATCACCTTATTAGATTTAGAAATGAATTCTACAATTAGATTCAAAGCAAACAAAACTTTACAACCCTTCAGCTCTGAAACAAACAAACAAACAAACGAACAAATACGTTTCCTTAAACAATTCTAATTCTATTTTCTAATAAAACATATTATTACAAATTATAATCGAAATAGCTTGCTGCATTAAGGGTAGCAATTTGAAAGGGTGTTTCAAGAAAGATCCAGGAGTATCTGGAAGAACAAAGCTGCTGCTTGATAGAATCCTCAAAAGCTGTTTCCTATTACTAAAGAAAGAAAGATATAGATAGATAGATAGATAGATATTAAAGAAATATAAAAAGAAAAAACAATATGTTGAAATATTATTATATATATGTCCCTTCGTTCATCCCTTCCGCGCACATATGCGCGCATCTCGCGTAAGAAGGTCGCTCGAACGAGCCGGATAGCCCAGCCAAAGGAGGGAAAATCGAAGAGTAGGAGAAAGGGGGTTGCTTTGGTGTGTACCTGTCCAATGTATGTGTATGTGTAAGAGAGAGAGAGAGAGAAAGAGAGAAGAAAATAAAAAGGAAAAAAGGGCAAAAGAAGGAGAGAGAGAGAGAGCCGATAAGGTAGGTCGCACTTTTCGGCCGATTCGCAAAAGCAGGGCGAACCTCGTGAAAGGTGAAAGGTCAGGAGAGCAAAGAGGAGGAAAGAAAAAGGAAACACCGTGGGATATCGACTCGAGGAGGTGGAGGGTCGAGGGTGGAGGGTGGAGGGTGGAGGAAGAGGAGGAGGAGGAGGTCGAGAGCAAGAGATAATCTAACCGTCGCGGGGGTGGCGTGTAATACGGGTAGGGTAAGTGCGAAAGCGGGTCAACCCTGAGTGTGTGTATTGAGAACACGAGAAGACGCGCGCGTAGCAACACTTTATCACAAAATTACTTTTTATCCACCCTCTCTTTTTTCTCCCTCTAATTTCCTACTATTTTTTAACCCCCTCTCTCTCTCTCTCTCTCTCTCTCTCTCTCTTCATCTATGAATGTATTTTTGTAATGCTCACTTTTGGAGAGATATTAATTTAATCCTAGAAACATTCAATGAAATATTATTGACTATCAGCTATCTCTCTCTCTCTCTCTCTCTCTGTAATAATTTATTTTATATATTTATTTATTTAAATAAGTACCATTAATTTAAATTATATGTATAATTTGTATGTTACTCACAATGTGCTTCATTTGTATTCGATTTTACATTATATATATATATATATTATATGTATTGAAATTTTCTTACTGACCTTTAAAATCTCTCTATCTCTCTCTCTCTCTCTCTCACACACACACACTCTCTCTTTTTCTTTTTTTAACGATATATCTAAACGCAATCATCTATCGAACTGGCTAACGTAACGCGCCACGGATGAAAGGTATATGTAAAAAGAGAGAGAAAGAGAGAGACCATGAGAGAGAGAGAGAGAGAGAAAGAGAGATGAAGGAAGTAAAAGGGGGAAGTACTAAAGGGTAGGTAGGGGGCGCTTGTGGGAGAGTGGGGGTGGACTGGCATCCATAGATGTGTGAGAAAGAAAGAGAGGGGTTGAAAGAGGAACAACGATGACTACGACTACGACGACGTAGACGACAGGACGATGACGACGACGGGGTGCGCACCTGGTTGCGCTCGAGTTTACCCGCCAGTCGACGGGGTGGTTTTGTTCGGTTGCGGGAAACGAGCGCGTTCGTCGCAAGCTCGTATTAAACGCGATGAAGAGATAGAAAGGAAGAAGAGTTTAAACTCTCTCTCTCTCTTTCTCTCTTTCTCTCTCTTTCCTCGTCATCTTTGTTCGTTGTTTTGTATTCTATAGTAGTGGTAGTAATAATAATAATAATAATAATAATAAAAATAATAATAATAATAATAATCGTCGTCATCGTTGTCATCGTTGTTCGTCGTTATAGTTCAATTTTTTTTTCGTCTTTTTTTTTGTTTTCTTGACAAAAATACAAATTCAATTAAAAACATATACATATATATATATATATGTATGTATGTATATATATATGTGTGATATATAAAACGTGTTGGACGAGAAAACCTTAATCCTCGAAATTCGTACGTGTTTATTCTCTTTAATCATCTTCCACACACACACTCTCTCTCTCTCTCTTTCTCTCTTTTTCTCTTTTTACACATTTTATCGTTAACTAAATTATACGCGCGTTTTTGAAAAAGCCTACCAACCATTTATATAATTTTTTTTTCATTGCGATGTTGGTATATATTCTTCCCTTTTTTTTTGTCTTTCTTTTTCTCTTTATCTCTCTCTCTCTCTCTCTCTCTCTGTTTCTTTATCTTTATATGTGTGCGTGTTTTTTTTTCCAGCAGAGTGACCACGTGCGTGCCGTGAATAATGTCGCGTACGTCGTTGATCTTTACTACTGTCGGTTCAACCCCTGTGAATCAAGTGTAACAACTCGGAGATTATTTAAATAAGGAAAACTCTGGATAATATTATAAAAAGAATATACAGAAAAGAAAGAAAGAAAGAAAGAAAGAGAGAGAGAGAGAGAAAGAGTGTGTGAAAGAGAAAAAAGAGAGAGAGAAAGAGAGAGAGAGAGAGAGAGAGAAAAGGTAGAAATAAAGAAATAGAAAGAGAAAGAAAGAAATAAAGAAAGAAAGAAAGGGTAAGGGTGATCGAATTTGTAAAAATGTTACGAGAGAAAGAGAAAAAGAGAGAGAAAAAGGTTTCTAAAACGTTGATTAGTATAAAACATATTTATTTTTTTTTCTTGTCCTCTCCCTCTCCTCTCTCTCTTTCTCTCTCTCTCTCTCTCTAATTCGTTCGATCGCGAATCGTCGGTACGCGCAATCTTTTCGGTGTTGCTGGCTGAATTTAAAACCCGCTTTGCTGTTGCTGTTGCCGCTGCAGCCTCCATCTCCGTCGAATATGCTCTCTCTGTCGTAGTTTATATATACATATATAAATAATAATTAATATATTATTATATTATTAATATATATTTAATTATATATTATTATAACATATATATATATATATTATATTGGAAATGAACTTTCGAGTTCCTAATGCCAATAAATAATAATATATATTATATAAAAATAATAATATATGTATATATGTATATGTATATATACATCTACATGCATACATGTCCATGTGTTAGTGCGAATGAAAGAAAAGGAAAGAAAAAAAAAAGAAAAAAGAATATTAATGAGAGTATAAAATAGCATTGTATGTGCCTCGTTGTTGTCATCGTCATCTTCTTCGTCGTGTGTTGTCATCTTCGTCGTTGTTGTCGTCATCGTCGTCATCGTTGTTGTCCATCGTTGTGTGTCGTCACATCACTATCATCGTTTCTTCGTCAATTTCGTTTCAAATTATTATATCGCGTATCTTACTCTCTATTTCTTTATCGGAAAACATTTATTTGAAGAAAAGATAAAAGAGAGAGAGAGAGAGTGAGAGAGTGAGAGTGAGAGAGTGAGAGTGATAAAGTATGCTGATAGAAAAGAATAAAAGAAAGAGAATTAAGAATAAATGTGTAAATTATTGCGTTGTTAGGAAAGTTCGTGCCAATTTTCAATAGATGGCATAAAGTTTCTTTTTTTTTTTTTGCTAAAAAAACCTGAAAAGTTTTTTTTCAGGTTTTTTTTAATTTAGTCCAAAAATTTTTGAAATTATTCATAAAATTGGAGAGAGGTTGTGCAAACAGAATGGTACTTATATATAATTTAATAAATAAAAACACTTAAAAATGTGTGCGTTTCGTTACAATCTTCTGTTCAAATCGGCACGAAATTTCCGAACAATCCAATAGAATTTATGTGTGCTCAGGACAAAGGAGGGCTAAAAAAAAAAAACCCCAAAGAAACAAGAAGAATAATAATATCAAAATCCAAGAGAGGGCCACCAGTCAGTCTTTGATTTTCTTTTCACGCGATTCTCTCACCGGAACCAAAAAAAAAAAAGAAAAAAAAAACACTTCCTGTAGTAGTTTTTCTCTTCGTCTAGTTACTTCTTCCACGAACTTGTTCTTACCACACCCCCCACCCTCTCACAATTACCACCACCACCACCACTGTACACCACCACTACTACTATTACTATTACTATTACTACTACTGTTACTATTTTATTGCTCCTTTTTTTTTTACACGATACCAACACTTATTATTATTCTTATTATCTTATATTATTATTATTATTATTATTATTTTTTTATTATTACTTTTGTAATTCACCATGCTTTTTCCGTAGCTTATTTGCATATATTATTACCTATACTTATTCGAATATTCACACACGTGCTCATGTTTCGTGTGCGTACGTGCGTGGGTGTCAACACCTAACCTCTCTCTTTTTCTCTTTCTCTATCTTTCTTTTTCTATTTCATCCCCCCCCTTCCGGTCTCTTTTTAAAGCTCATTCCCCTCCCCTCCCCCCAACCTCCTAACCTCACTCTTTTTCTTACGTCATCAGTACAGCTTTATTCGATTTTATTTTATTTTTCTCATTTTTCTACTGAAACACGCATCGTGGCATGTGTCGAACGACAAATTTCCTATAAAAATGTTTCTTGCAACGATGACACTGATAATCTATCTCCCTCTCTCTCTCTCTCTCTCTCTCTCTCTCTCTCTCTTTCTCTTTCTCTTCTTTTATATTAAAGAAGAAATTCTATTTCATTTAATTACCTTTTTACTATCATCCCTATTTCTTCTTATTGTCATAGTTATTTTTTTGTTTTAAATTATCTATCGCTTTTTTGCTATTTTTCTTTTTTTTCTTTCATAGAAAGTGCACATAGATTAGATAAAAATACAAAATATACATTTTTATATGAAATTTTATATTATTACTCCGCCATTGTAATATATTTTTATCATTTCTAATAAGTTCTCCATTTTTTCTTTTAATATATTTTTTAATTACTTTTTAAAATTCGATTCGAGAATTCATATATATATGTATAGTAAATCGTGTCGTTTAAATCGATGTTGCTGCGAGGTCGTTCTCAACGTATCGAGGGGAGGGTGCGGGGAAGAGGGAGGGGGGTAGGAGGAGGGTGAAAAAAAAGGCTGACAATGAGCCTAGCAAAGTCGAGAATCTTACGCAGCCATTCGAACGAGGTCGATGGCGTGCACTTCTTCCTTCCTACATGTGATGTATGACATTCGAAGGACACATTGTCATTTTCTTTTTTTCTTTTTTTTTTATCTTTCTTTTTCTTGTCACTTTTCTTACTCTTGTATCATCCCTTTGAAATCTTTTCTTTTTCCGTGGTTTCTTTGAAACTTCACAATATTCACTTTCAAAGTACTTTTATTATATATATATATATATATATATATATATATATTTTCAGGGGTCCTACAATTTACCCGGGGATCCCCAGAAGTTCAGAAGTTTCACACAATTTCCCCAGGGATCCCTAAAAGTTCGACAAAATTTCTCCAGGGGTTCCCCACAATTTCCCCAGGAGTTCCTCACAGTTTCACGGGGATCCCCGCAATTTTCTCAGAGTTTCCCATGGGTTTCCTCACAATTATATATATATATAATACGTGATTTTACATTTACATGACAACGACACAACACGTGTGTGTCCTTTCGTGTTACTTATCAAGAATCTCTTGGCCTCGTAAAGTTCGATTTTTTTTTCTTTATTTCAAATCACGCGCGCATTTTTCTTTTCTAACCTTAAAATGATCATCCTCCTTATCATTGACCCAAACCAAATTCGAATATTTCAATATTTCATGTTGTTTCTTTATATTTTACTTTTCTATAATTATTATTATTATTTTATTTTGTTTATCAAAGATTCAATAAACAAATTAGGATATTTCTAGAAAAGGTTTTATCCCCTTTAGTATAGTTTAAACAAACAACAACGTAGGTTATACTAACCTTCTTGAAACAAGTATTTTTAGATTGCACTATGCACCAATAATATTATCTAACACTTAATTCATTTTGTTGATCACAGACACACACACATACATATACATACATATACACAAGTAGTATTGGTATTTTCTTAGATAATATCAAAATTAGGATTGTGTGAAAGCTTGTGAGATAAATAACATATATTATTTTATTCTAAACACGCTTCTTTTGTCTATCTCTCATTCGAATATGGTCGAATTTTTTAGATAGGTTCTTCGCAAATGTAGTATTTACAAACCACCACCACCACCTGTTTTAATTAGTAGTTAACAATCTATGACTTATTAGAAGCTAGATATCGAAATATATTCTATCATATTGAATAAAAGGTCTCTAGTCTTTAGCAACAAGGTATTTTGGTACAAATTATTATTGTACCAACTACGAGATTATATGTGAGTATGTAAAAAAAGCAAGGGTCATAAAATATTCACACATTATCTTCATTTAATACAAAAATACATATATATATACTAGGGGTGCACCGCCACGCGTTGCTGTGGCTCACAATCATTCGCAATAAAATAATATTGCGATTATAAATTGAGATATGAATTATCCTATCTTTCAAGTTGAATGAAACTGCACACATTGTGCAAAATTTTATTAAAATCGGTTTAGTAATTTAAGAGTCCATTGCGGACAAACAACGTCACACGTAATTTATATATATTAAGAAGATATATTTTATATATATATGTATTTTTAAATAAAAATAAGAATCATTCATTAATTTCATTGACAAGATTGATCCTAGCAACTCGCTTGAATGTATAAAACAAACAAACAAGCAAAAAAAAAAAGAAAAACATCCAAAAAAAAATTGCATCTCGCTTGCTTTTATTTGTGTGTGTCTGTCCATGTAGTTTAATTTATATATGTGTGTACGTATGTACGTATCTATTTAATAATTGTATAAAAATGAAAACGTTGTGAACATAACACACCCCTTTTTTTTTGCATCGATTTCGTAATACTATAGTTTGGTTATTTTAATAAAAGATCAAACGAAATATGCAATACGTATATATATACATACACATTTGTAATGTAGTTGACATGTTCTTTTTAGTATGACCAAGACGAATCGAAACTTCATCCTTGACTATTATTCTTGTTTAATATTTCAAAGGTCTTCCAACGATCTAAACGATACTATAGAGTCACATTTACATAACTCATAGACAAGGTTTATACAATGAATCACAATTTGAATTAACGTTATATGTTTTTTTTACAATAAAATTTCTTGGTTATACGTATGAAGAATTTTGAGAATGAACGGAGTTTATAATAAAATGTTGTTCTTCGTACTATTCGAGTTTCATGGAAAATGCGGGAAAATTATTTGAAATTAATTTCTTTTCATTAAATTTATAATCTTAATTAAACTCAACAATATATTTGTGTGTTTATTAGAAAAAAAAAAAGAACAAAAAGGTAGAAGGGAAAATTGATAAAAGTATGTTAACCAGTTAATTGTTTTGAAAGTACTCCATTTTGAAAATTTACACCGCTGTGTGTCGCTAAAATCGACCTATGACGAGTTTTGAGGTTAACAATTGCTCATTTTGAGAATAAAATGAACTAATAATACAAAAAAACAAATAGTAATTTACGAATCTTTCATTTCTCTCTTGAAATCATCTTGAAATTTGAGAAAATGTTTAATTTTACACACAAAAAATTACAATTTAACAGGTTGCAGCAAATGACGGCTATAGCCGTCCGGATCTTTGTTGTTTCTGAGTACGATCTTCAAATTAAAAGTGTGCAGCAACGTGTTAAATAGCAAATAGTCACTACTCTAGTCATAAGACAAAATTCTGCCACTTATTCGTGACGAGTATACTCGTCAAACTCAGTTAACTGGTTAATATTGTTGCATACTTATATCTTCGAGTAGTACGAGAGAAATAATGAAAAAATAAAAGAAACGAAGCTTCATTCTCAAAATAGTAGTAGCAAAAAAAAAAATAGTAGTAGGTAGGAAAAAAAACAAAAAAAAAGACGCGAGGGATGCCAATAGCAGGCAGAGCTCCGTCACATTTCTTGCCTTTACAGAGACAGGAGAAAAAGAGAGAGAGAAAAACAGAGAGAAAGAGAGAGAGAGAGAGAGAGAGAGAGCAAGGGGAAAAGAAAAAGCAGGAATATAACAGAAGGAAGAGACCTACTATTACTACTACTACTACAGGATCAGTGTGTTCCCAATAAATAAGAAGAAAAAATAACCAGAGAAATATATTTAGTAAAAAATTGTCTCCAGTGGTATTTATCAGAGAGAACAACAAAAAAATAACAAAGACTGATATCCAAAAAAAAAAAAAAACAGAAAGGGATTGAAATAAGAACTAAAAAAGGATCAATCAAAAGTGAACGACAGCTAAAAGATGTACGCGGCAGCAGGTGGTGCGAGTATAGCGAGTAGGAGGAAGCAGAAACGTTTGCAATTGTACAAACGTGGTGTAGAAAGTGGCCGATTGGGTGAAAGTGGATTAGGAACGGCAGGAAGGGGCAAAATAATTTCGAAGCAAACAACAGGATCAAAGGCAACGGGAACGTTGATGACGAACAAATTTGCTCGTCAACATCAACATCAGCATCAGCAGCAGCATCCGCATCATCAGCACCACCACCACTACTACCACCACCACCATCATCATCAACACCACCATCATCACCACCAACATCAACACCAACACCAACATGTTGTCCCATCATCCTTCGCAGCACAAGCACCACCACCACCACCACAATCATCCCAATTCCATATTACCGGCATCGATAAACAACAGCTTATTTCACGCGTCGAGAAGTACCAACTACAACAACAACAACTACAACAACAACTAGCACCTGTATCGCCCATACAATTCCCCATATCGCCGCCACCGCTCTCACTGGAATCATCCGGTTCGGTCACCTGCGCCACTAGCAAGCCTAACAGCTTCCCTTTTCCGCCACCCTCGATCCTCGATCTAAGAATCTCGCCTACTTCCACGTCGGATCTACAGGTGGGTAAAATCATCCAAGAGAGTTACTAACTATTCTTGTCGAAGACCCTCCTCCTCCCCACCCTCATCCTAGTTTACCTTGAACAACCAACCAAATCCTCACCCTAATCTCTAACACTCTATCCTATTTTTTTTCTCTATCAATTCGAAACGCTAGAGTTATATTAGCACGATAATAATATAGGAAGTATATATAGATAATACATATTTAGAAAAATCACACCAATTTCACCACTTTTGTATTCCGATCTGTTGTTTTTATTTTCTAATTCTTGATCTTTATTCTCTGTATTTAGCTAGCTATCTATCTACCTAATCTGTCTATCTATCTATCTATCTGTCTGTCTGTCTGTCATCCATCTATCTATCTATCTATCTATCTAACTATCTGTACGTATCTCTGTGTCTATCTTTCTATCTTTATTATCTATAATTTTGGTTTTTATCTAACGCACCGCACCACTCGTCGGCACAACACCCCCCCGAGTTTGAGAAGACCGTCGATCGGCTGTCTGGTGGCGTCTACCGTAATATCGCGGTAAGGCGTTCGTCGGATCATCCAGGTTCGTTGGTCGATCCCGATTGCGATTAGTAAAAGAACGTTTTACATTTAAATAGGATATATAAGATAGATATGAAAAGAACAAAATGAGGAAAAAGAGGATTAGCATTAATTTGTTGTAACATGTTGATTTATTTTGTTTATTATCGCGGTCTCGTTACCAGCGGATTTGGATACGGCGAATGCTAATGAGGCAAAACGGGTCTCGAAACAATTTGTCTAGATTTTATATACATATATACATATGTATATATAAATATATACCCCTATTGTGTATATATGTATATATAGATATTTGTTGTAATTTAAACAACGAATTGAAATTATACTGATCGGAATTGGGATATATGATAGTTGTTGCGTGGGACTTGTTCGATTGAATACAAGGAAGGAGAAAAGGATTTTTCACAATCAACCAGGAGGGTGACACACTTGAATCTAAAAAAAAAAGGTGCTACCACTATTACTACTTCTACTCTAAATTATACTACTACAAACTTGTTCTACTACTACTACTAATACTACTGCTACTATTATTAACCCATTACTACTGCTACGAGAGAAAGTGGGGAAAAAAAAAGACAGTCAGGATCTTGACGATCGATGAAACAAGCAAGTGAATGAGCGGAATGCAGGCTGCTCTATTGATTAGAAGGGAGAAGCAGCGGTTACGGGGGGGTAAGGTGGTGAACTTTAGAGATTTACCAACCAACTTGGCCACAAGGCTTATTCCACCGCTACCACGATATCCCCCACGTTCTTACGTTTACGGGGTAAGTATATCAGGTTCACTTGCCAGCCACTTTATCAACTTTTATGACGGTAAGGATATATTATTATAATCGACGATGGTGGTATTTCTAAGGAACGGAAAGCGTTCGCCGATAGAATCTATCCTCGAGAATAACTCACGATATATACCGCCTATATCTGCGATAATTAAGGTAGAAATTTTCTAACTCGGGGTTATCTGTGCGGCTACAAATTTATTATTAACGATGTCTTTGTTTTTTTTTTGTTTACCCTCCCCCCTATCTTTCTCTTAATTTCATTTTTATTTACTTTCTTGTATTTATTATCCCTTTATATATAAGTCGGCTGCGCTTCCGTTTTTCATTTTCTTTTTTTTTTCCGTTCGAGTTAGCGTCCTTCCCCTTTTTTGTTTATTTTTTTTTTTTTTTTTTGGTAGACCATGTGTGACGTTATTATCTTCTCATGTGATCAATGTCGTAAAACATAACTTCATGTTTAATAAATAAATATATATGTATATATACATGTATGTGTTTTAAACAGGAATACGAATGATCTACTGCTAGCAAAAGGATTTAAGATTGAATATACCCATTGATCGGTTGTATTCATTTACCAACCTTAAATCCTCAGCCCCCTAATGTTGTATCCACTTCTCTTTAATGATATATATTTAGAATAGAATAATTAATGTCGTAAAGTGGAATGGTTGCAGTGTCAGGGAGCTGGAAAGGTAGCATGGCAGGGATGTACCAGATCATCCCCTCTTCCTTTATTTCCTAATTTACCACATGGGTGTCGCGGCGGCGATGGCTACAAAACGAAACAATGCGAGGCTCATCGAAGATGGATGAAGAGGAACAGGGTAACGCGTTTCGTATTGAAGGCTAACGCATAATATATAATTTCATTCATAATATTCATCATTTTGTTTTGATAGAACGGACAATGTGAAAATGTTATTGAAAAGAATTTCCTTTTTTTTTGGGTCTCTAGTAACGATTTAATTGGCTAAGATGAAATTTCGTTTAATCACAGATACGAGATGCCAGTTATTGTTATGGGAGTAGCGGAGAGGACGATGACGATGACATAAGCGGTAGCGTTAATCGTCGTAGAGCTGAAGTTAATGCAGCAGTAAACACCGTACTTTATGCCGGGCTTGGTGCCACGGCTCTCGGCCTAGTGATTTCATTTGTTGGTACCGGTGAGAAAGGATTTCTCAGTCCCGAGTTGAAATTAATTGGACCCTCATTACTGTGCGCTGGTCTACTTTGCTGCCTGTTTCGTGTATTGCTTTGTCTTTGCCTGTGCCGTTGCGGCGAATGCCGTTGGTGCCTTTGTAAGCAGTCCCGTAACAAGAAAGACAAGGAAAAACAGAAGACGGGAACACGTCCATCCGGTCCAATGCAAACAGCCTCGCTTTTATCACCAGTGCCACAGCAACCAGCAACACACTCGTCATGCCAAGTGTCGTCATCGTCAGCAAAGGGACATGAACTCTTACTCTCTCCTGCCCAATTACCTGAATGAAAATATGATTTCAAACGTTTTTTACCGAATTCTACATGCCGATCTACTGCCGATTCTGTCCAAAGAAGAGGAAACAAGATATGGAAAGGAAGGAAAGAAGGAAGGAAAGAAAGAAAGAAAGAAAGAAAGAAAGAAAGAAAGAAATGAAGAAATAAAGAAGAGAACAAAATGATGAAAAGAAAAACAAACAAAACAAAGAAAATATTTAAATAGCATATCTCGACACTACTATTCGGTTTGACTTAAGTCACAATATATCATAAAGAATTAATACTAGTTAAATGAAATTTAGTGCTCACAGTGAGAATAATAAATGATCGGCTACGTTTTTTCTACCCTTTCCGGTGTTTGATGAAGTAAACGAACGTTTGTTGATAAATCTCTTCATTTATTTCCTTCCATTGTTATTTCTTTATAAAGAACATTTAAAATAGTCAATGTGCTATTCACTTAAGATGCAATAATGCATGATATTATATTTAATGACTTAATGATATTAGATTGATTTTGTCTTTTCTTTTGTATGAAAACTTGTCATGTTTCATTGTCTTCTACAAAAGGCAATAAAAAAAATTCCATTTAATACTAATTTAAAATGCACTGATCAAGAAAGTTGGAATTGCATTTGATCGGTAGAGGAGTAACTGTAGATTACAGGTGTATCTGAGGTAGTCGCATTGGAATCTGTTGCAATTGTGAATAATTGATCTTCGTATATGGTACCCTGAGGTTCTACTTTTCCATTACCGGTCGTTGTTCCTGTACCCGGAGGATTGTCACCTTTGGTAGCTTCTCTATATTTTTGTAGATAAACTTTCAATGGTTCTACATAATTATCAAAACCAAGATTAGTCATTGCAAACAAAATATCTTCTCCGTTAATGGTTTTTCTTTTTTCCATATGACACCGGTCACTTGCTTCTGAGGTGATAAACGATATAAACTCGGATACACATTCTTGTACACATTCCCGTGCATCTTTAGCTATTTTTCCTGATTCAGGTATAGCCCGTTTCATAATTTTGGCAACATTAGCTATAGGGAGAAAACGATCCTGTTCTCGTAGTGGACCACTACCACTTCCACCTCCACTGCCTTGCAAAGGGTCACCACCGCCATGGTTGGAATCATCTGTATTTTCTGAATCAATAATGATTAAAATGATAAATCATGAGAACTATATTACAATGAAATTAATAAATTATTCATAAATCATTTCTATTGGAGGATTTAATCATAAAATCAAAAATAAATCAAATGCAATTCTCGTTCTATACTTTCTCATAGTAATTGTTATTCAATGATTGTTTTATTTTGTTAAATAGAAAATTATTAAAATATGTAAGATATAATTATTATTTCTTATAAAACACTAACCTACCTTCCAAATCGTCTGACTGTACGCCTATGTATGAGGCTGAAACACCACTTCCTCCTAAAAAGGTTGTAGGTCCTAAAGGTCCACCGTCATCGCCACTTTCACCACTATTTTCCATTCTATAATAATATTTTATTTCTTAATTTAAATAATATATAAGTTTTGTTCTCCTAACCTCTTCACAAATTATGTTCGTGTTATTGTTGTTAGTTTTAACCATAAACGTTGCTATGATGAGAAATACTGACTAGACATTTCACGACGTGGAAGAACATTTCTGCGCATGCGCATTAGTTGAATCTTTGTTTAGCATACATATTTATATTTATATTATCATTGTTTTATTACATATAATTATTATTAAATTTATTAAGTTTCAAAAATAAGACGATTTACCAAATATTTCGAATAATTCGAAAATATTATTGTAGAATTTTCAACCAATCAGAAAACGTAGTAAGTTATAAAGGTTAGTTTCAATCAGAGAAATGACGGATGTAGGGATCCTATAGGGATGCGCCATTACATTGCTGGCGGACCGGAACTCGATTTTGCACGCGAATGATTCGAACAAACATTGAAATAATTATGAAATATTGAATTGCATCAAATACAGAAAAAAAATGAACTATATTTTATGATATTTAAAAATTTATATTAAAATAGAATAGGTTACACGAAAAAATTATTATAAATTCAAGCGTTCCCCCAAAATTTTCAGCCAATGGCACATGAGCTAAATATGAATGGCGCATGCTTCCTACAGGATCCCTAGATGGACGAATCAGATGGCGCCTAGTATCACATGTTAAAAGTGATTCATTGATGAGTGTTCCCTCGTAAAATATTCCGGCAACATCCAGATTAGGTTAGTACTAACAGTGCTCCCTCGTAAAATATATCCGGCAAACTCCAATTTATTAATGATTTAATACAAAAATTTCTTTTAACGAACATTTTAAAATTTGAAACACTTGTTATTGTGATCTCAATCTATTGAAGTTCATAAATGTATATATTTACGAGTAATTATCTAAAGTCACATGTTAAAAGTGATTCATTGATGAGTGTTCCCTCGTAAAATATATTCGGCAACATCCAGGTTAGGTTAGTACTAACAGTGTCTCTCGTGGAATATATCCGGCAACATCCACATTAGGTTAGTAGTAACAGTGTAAAATATATTGTGTTATGAAAAAGAACGTTTAAATAAACTGAAAGAAGACAAAAGTGTATAAAATATTATTGTGACTTATTAATGATTTAATACAAAAATTTCTTTTAACGAACATTTTAAAATTTGAAACACATGTTATTGTGATCTCAATCTATTGAAGTTCATAAATGCATATATTTACGAGTAATTTTCATTCAAAATAGTGCCATCTATTAGATTTAAATATAACCCCTAGTGAGAAACAAACGATTCCAATATGGCGAATGTGAGGGACAGTGATACTTCGTTGTGGCTTCATAACAAGCTTGGAACCTCTAATGATAGCTGGACTGGTAGTTCAATTTGTTCTCAATTAAACGCAGAGGTGTTAAGAAACATCAAGGACTGTTTTCCAGATTTACAAACACAAGTTAAACTTAAATTACTCCTTTCGTTCTTCCACATACCTAGGCGAAATGTTGAAGAGGTAAGTGTTTGTGATACTTTTCCCGCTAATAATTTCACTATTATTCTTTCCATCTTTATTATTTTAACGTTATTTATCAATGTATCATTGTTTTCTTTATTCAAACTTTCTTTTTTTCTTTTCAATAATATCATGCAATATTTTTTTCTCTATTATGATATTTTAGGCAGCCCGCCGCCTATTTGATTTTATTTAAATACCTAATGTTTTTGATATGAATAATACCCTTACTTTCATTTGCGCGGCATGTCTTAATACATAATAAATAAATATCATTCAATTTACTTATATTACTTGTAATCTTGTGTATACAATGATTTACTTTTCTAACATCTCAAATGGATAACCTTATATATTTCTACATTAATTCTAAAACTTTTGTAGTGGCGCGTTGAGCTGGAAGAAATCATTGAAGTTGCATCGTTGGACAGTGAGTTATGGGTTTCAATGCTATCCGAATCGATGAAGACGTTTCCTTCTACAGGATCATTAAATACAAATATTACTGATTTAGATGAACATAGACCTATTTTTGGAGAACTAGTTAATGATCTAAAAAAATTATTGAAAAAGCAGAATGATCCTGCAATGCTTCCATTGGAATGTCATTATTTGAATAAAACAGCTCTGATATCTGTGGTAGGTCAACAACCTTCACCTGTTAAACATTTTACATTGAAAAGAAAGCCAAAAAGTGCAGCTTTAAGAGCGGAATTGTTACAAAAGTGTAAAGATACTGCAAGTAATATAAAAAAAAGTACCGCACCCACTGTACCAGTACGTAGTAGAGGAATGCCAAGAAAAATGACAGACACAAGTAAGTAAATTCATATTTACATGCATTATATGCTTGTGTAATATAAATATTAAATATACAAGAGCAATTATTTTATTATTATTATTATTATTATTATAATTTACAGCACCTCTCAAAGGTATTCCTAGCAGAGTTCCAACAAGTGGCTTTCGGTCTCCTTCTCTTACAAGTTCATCGATGTCAAGCAGAACTCCTATTAGTAGTAGAAGTCGTAAAGATGGTGGTATTAAATTGTTGGACATTAATGAACAACCTCTTGGATATGCACAAGCTAAAAAGAGAAGGCGAATGATGGAATTAGAAGAGCAACAGAAAAAGGTTGCAGAAGCTCAAGCAGCTGCAGCAGCTGTAGTATCAGCAAATACAACTACAGTTGAAACTCCAGCAACACCAGAATATGCTCAAGGATTAGCAGCAATTAATCCACCTTCTACTCCTGTTACACCGGTGTCCACTGTTCAATCCTATGTGGCTCCTACCACTCCAAGCGGAGTTACACCTACAACTACATCTCAAACTTGTAAATATTTTGTTATGCTTTTGTATTTGTTTTTATTTATTAAGAACAATGTGTAACTGTATGTAATAACAATTTGTAAATTTGTAGCTACTACACCGTCTACACCTACAGTGCCAAGTACAGTAACACCAGTAACAACACCAGCAGTCATATCCCCTGTAGAAAGTACACCTGTTGGTGTACAAACTGTTAGGCCAGCACAGACAATTACACAGATTCGTATACAAACATCCGCACAACCTGTTAATGCAGCAGCAAATACGAGAAGAGGCTTATCACTGACGGTACATTTTTATTCAAAGATATAATATACAAGAAATGTTCTATTTAAATTGTTTATTTATTTAATGAGATTTTTTTCAATTTGCAGCGAGAACAAATGTTAGAAGCTCAAGAAATGTTTAGAACGGCTAATAAAGTAACGAGACCAGAGAAAGCATTAATCCTAGGATTTATGGCTGGTTCTAGAGGTACATAATATTTGAATATTAAAGATTTATTTTTTTTTTATATATATATATATTTATATGAACTATTGTGTTTTTTTTTCTTTTTGTTTTATTATTATAAATAAATAATTATAAGTTCTTACAATTAAAAAGTAATATAGAAAGTTTATTTACCTGAATAAATATTTTTCAATAGATAATCCTTGTCCTAAATTGGGCAACATAGTGACAGTAATGCTTTCGGAGAACATAGAAGAGGTATCTCAAGCAGATGGTTCAACGGTACCAATGTTAGTTGAGACTCACTTCCAAATGAATTACACAAATGGCGAATGGAAAAGGATAAAGAAAAATCGTCGAGTTGTAACAGAAGAATCTACCTCGACGGCAACTCCTACTCCTAATCCAACAGCTACAGCTTCCAATTAGGCAAAATAAATAAATATATATATATAAATATATATATATATGTATAAAAAAAAAGAAGAAGAAATTATCGCGATCTGAAATAATGCAGAATCTTTTTAAAAATACACTTCGCGTATAATTATGGCCATTTTTAAGAACGCACATACAATTTGGTCATAGAGCAATTTTTTTTTTAATGACTTTAGTTAAAAAAATACGCGTTTCATCGTCAGTCCATCAAAACTTACGTTTATATTAACGTATACAACCAACGACAACAACAATTCATGTCAATTTTGTAATAAGGTCATTCAATCGAATCATAATTCAAACAACAATGGATGATTGAATAATACAAATTTTAAAATGAAACTAACAAATTCGTTTGTTTCGAATCATAAATATTAAAAAGGAAGAACAAAAGTTTCCAAATAATGGAAACCTGATGTTGGTGCTAACACATTGTTCTTTTTTTTTTTTTTCTTTTTTTTTCTTTTCTTTTACAAATGTTTCATGAACTCTATTCAAAATTAATAATTGTGTTATAACAAAATGTAATAATTGTCGTTCATACTGCAGTATGTACATTATTATTATTATTATTATTATATATATTTACATATTTAACAGAGATGAATATAAGACTTACATTATTGTTATTTGAATAAAATATCGTTAGATTAAATATGTTTTACTGTCATATTGTATTATTCGTATCGAAAAGAATTCATTTTTGTTTTGTTTATTTTCCAAATGTAATGGAAATGTTAAACGTTGTCAGATGATATATAATTATTTTACAAAAGTTACTTTTTAAGCGAGAAAATATATATTAAAGTTTGATATATATTTTTAATAAATGTAAAAGTCATTGAATTCTTTTTTTTCTAGATTTAATTGTATACACACATATATATATATATATATATATATATATAGTATATATTTTGACTAGTTCAGGTATGCCATCTGTAAAGCTTCCAATGAAATTTCTTAACCTAACCTAATTTTGTGAAATCAAGTAGTAGCGGTACGCGGTGACATTGTTCTATTACATATTTTCTTAAATGTAGTATTGTATAATACGCTTAATAAAAAGATAGTGAATAAACAATAAAACAAAACAAAAAACTGTTCTTTTTCATTTGAATTCATCAAATTAACATTTGTATTGTTTAAATTATATTTCAATTATATAATCTGATTGATTGATTTCTTGTCGTGTACGTTTGAAAAGTAAACGTTTAAGAAGACCATTTCAAATCAATAATAACACTTGTTTATAATAATTATATTATTTATCCATTTGTTATAAATAAAAAGAAAACAAAGATGATTCGATTGTTTGCTACGCAAGTGAAAAAAGTGGTGTGTATTAAATTCTTTTATAACATTTATATTATAATATTTATATATATATATTTGACAAATTTACATGTACATTTTATTTTTACAGTCTTGCACCATTTCATCATCTTTAAAAAAAGCAAATAATTTAGCATCTAAAGAAACAATTAGAAATTTTAGTATTACTTCAAGATGTCTAGGAGCTTGGCCGGAAATCCAAAAACCTGCACCAGATTTTACCGGAATGGCAGTGGTCGATGGTAACTTCAAAGAAATAAAATTAAGCGATTACAAAGGCAAATATGTTGTCCTATTTTTCTATCCTTTAGATTTGTAAGTTATTGTTTTGACTTATTTTAATAATATTGTAGATTAAATTTAACATTGTCAATAAAAATGTTGTTCTTTCTTTCAGTACGTTCGTGTGTCCAACAGAGTTGATAGCATTTTCTGAAAGAATTGCTGAATTTAAAGCATTGAACACACAAGTAATTGGTGCATCTACGGATTCTCACTTCAGTCATCTTGCATGGACTAATTTGCCAAGAAAACAAGGCGGTTTGGGTGGAGATTTAGGATACCCTTTGTTAAGTGATTTCAATAAAGAAATCGCAGCAAAATACAACGTACTCTTAGAAGGTTCTGGTATAGCATTGAGAGGATTATTCATCATCGACAAGGAAGGAATACTTAGACAATTAAGTGTAAATGATTTACCAGTTGGTCGTAGCGTTGATGAAACGTTAAGATTGATAAAAGCTTTTCAATTTGTCGAAGCTCATGGAGAAGTATGTCCAGCCAATTGGCAACCAGATTCTAAAACGATCAAACCAAATCCGAAAGATAGCAAAGAATACTTTGAATCGGTCAATTGAATTTTCTATATAATTTTCTAAATATAAATATATAATATAATATATATATAACTATACATAATAATTATAAACGAAAATGTAATATATAAGCATGTGTTGTAAGAAAATTTTATTATGAATCAATGTAAAATGAAAGGTGATAATATATACAGTATGGTATTAAAATAAGATAAAGTTTTATCAAAGTAGTAATAGTAGTAGTAGTAGAAAATCAGTGTCTATCTTTTTCGTATCAATTGGACCTCCTGGATGTATTCAGTACGTTGAAGAAAACATTTATTTATCATACTCTTTTGAAAGTATATATGGCGGAGAGATGAGGAGAGAAAATACTACGAACGAATTCCTTTGAAAAGCACATCATTCGCTATTCCTCCTAACGTATAGTACATGCGTGTACGATTGTGTTTGTAGGCGCGTTCGAACGGCACGAATAGAGTTCTTCGTACAGTATCGAGGGGTTGTGATACAGACTCGGTTCGATCGAATGTTAAGAGAGAGAGAGAGAGAGAGGGAAAGAAAAATGAAAGAAAGAATGAAAGAAAGAGGAGAGTACAGGGGTTCGTAAAATTTGAATGGAGAAAAAGGAAAGGGGGAAGAAAAAAGGTGCGTGCCGCTCACATGTGCACATACCATTTATATGTTACAGGGAGAAATGGGAAAAAGGTGGAGGGGGATTGGTGAGGTTGGTTGGTGGAGGGTGGTTTAGGAATGGAAGAGCAATCTCGTACCAGTTAATTTGATTCTTTGTGGCGATGAAAGTAATAGTGGGAGGAAGCACCAAAAGACCGTTCCCGATTACCCTCTATCTCCTTCTCCTCCTCCTCCTCCTCCTCCTTTTCAACTATTCGTGGCTTACCAAGTAAACGTTTACTTTTTTTCAAGCATCTCTAACACGTGTCATAATATACAATATTATTTTTGTCTAATTCAAATGATCTTTTAATGACATTTTTATTAAATTTATTATAACTTTTATATCACACGAATTTCATGATAATAATTAAGATTTATTAGGAATAATCATATTTGTAATAAGGTTCGGATAAAATGGAAGTTTTTACAGTGTATTAGAATATTTTGAAGTTACAATACTGTACTGTACTACATAACTGTACAGTATAGTACAGTATAGTATTGTATTATACAGTACAGTACAGTACAGTATTGTATTGTATTGTATTGTACTGTATAGTACAGTACAGTACAGTACAGTATAGTATTGTACTGTACAATACAGTACAGTTATGTAGATCAGATATATACAAAGAAACACGCAAATAAATTGAATATAAATGATCTGATGATATAAATAATATAAATAATATATTAAATATATTATAAATGAAAAATAAAATATTACAAGTTAAGAAAAATATAAAATTTGGTTTAAACGTTGAAATGATGATGATGATGATGATGATACTAAAAGAAAGAAATCCTATTCTCAATTATAATCGTATAGAATATATTTACTTAGGTATCAAGAGAGGACGGGGGTACAAGTGACATGTAGGATTAGAGAGAAAAGCGAGTCTTTTAGACGGGGACGAACGGGGCCAGGGGATTTTGATGTTTCAATCGTGCGTTCCGTTGTCCGGCGTGGTCGATTAACGCGACCGTGAGGGGGTGGGTTCAGTAAGTTTAGTAAGGTTTCCGATTCTAATCGGTGTTCTCGGTCGATGCACGACAACGTCATCTTTGAACATGACTCAACTCGTTTTCAATTTTTACATTCTCTTCAAATATATACATTTTAAATCTCTTGAAATAATATAAGAATTCAAATAAATGATAGGGGGAAAATAGTAAAGAAAAATATATCATGAAAATTACTAGAACTATTACTAGAAAAGTAGTAAGGCATAATAATGTTGTATCATGTTGACCGCACCTCGATAACATTTATATAAGCCAAGATGATATTATGAATGTAGTGTACTTGTTTAGGGCCAACCCCTCTCCTAGGGTGATTCTGATTCTATTGAAGAGTAGATAGAGGAGGGAGTGGTAAAAGGAGGAACGTTGAAAGTTGTGTGGACGAGAGGAATAACTAGAGGGAAGGAAGGAAGGAAGGAGAGGAGAGAGAGAAAGAGAGGGCGTTGGCAGAGGTTGGACGATGAGGTGGAGACCATGAAAGAGTGAGGAACATAATCGTGGAACTCAGTGAACGAGAAGAAGAAGAAGAAGAAGAAGGAGGAGGAGGAGGAGGAAGGGGGATAGGCGCCGCGCGTTTGCCGTCGTGCATCCATCCATATCCATCCCGGGGTGGCTAGGCTTTGATTACTTGTTTTAATCTTCCGACTGCCGACCGGGCGAGCATCTGTCACTCAAAATCCGTAATTGCGCGCCCACCCCCTTTCTCTCTCCTTTTTGCCTTATCCATCCTGCAGATTCACCTCTACCCAGAAATGAGCGAGTGAGCAAGAATGAACTATCCCCCAWCCCAACCCAACCCATCCCATCTCAATTGAAGTTTCCTCTCTTCTCTCCGTCATCTCTTTCCAAACCACCCACACTGATTGGTGAGAATTGGAGGAGACGCATTTTCTCTTATTCTTTTTCTTCGTTCAAATCCTATCCCTATCCTTTACCCCCCCCCCCCTACATCCTTATTACAGTACTCACCTTCTATATCCTTGCCTTTTTAATTTCCTGAAAGACAATTATTCGCGATAATCATCGTATCATCGTACGTACTCGCTGAGTTTTGTTTCCTTTTGACAAAAAAATCAGAGAACAGATGTGTTGTGAGCAGCAGCAGCAGCAGCAGCAGCAGCAGCAGCAGCAGCAGTAGCAGCAACACAACGGGAACAACTACTACCATTACCATCACAACCAAGTAGTAGTAGTAATAACAGCATCCTATATGTATATGTAAGTAAGTAAGAGCAAAAGCGCAAGGCTCCTCGCGTACGGGACTCCGTGAGGGCCCATAGGGGTGCCTGCCTGCCTGCTTGCCGTCAGAAGAGTCTCTTGGGATTATTTTCGCTCGATTATCTGTAGGACGTGGGGTCAAGGCGAGGTACTTTATCCCGATGGAAGAATAGTAGATACGTCTCTCTTTCTCTCTATTAGCGCTAAAAGTACCGATAAAGACTTGGGATAAAAAGAGAGAGAGAGGAGTGGGGATAAGAGAACGAGAGTGAGGGAATGGGCTACTACCACTATTGGGGAGGGGAGTTTAGGGGCTTCTAAACGGGGGGAAAAAAAAGAAAAGAGAAGAACATGATGCGCTTCTTCTCATTTTTCGTCTTCGACTACCACCACCATCATCACCATTACCATCACTATTATTATCACCATTACTATTACGATCTGCAGCAGCAGTAGCATCAGGAACAGCGTTAGAAGGCTATTCCCTCAGGGTTTTTGCTCCGATTCTTTTTGGTAGTACACTTTGGCCGTTTAGATACCAGCGGTGGCCGTGATTCTCGAACACACCCCCATCGATCGGGGGGTTCCCTTAAAAGAACAACGACGTGGACGACTACGACGATGACGATGAGGAGGAGGAGGAGTTGTCTTTTCTTCTTGTTTTTGCTCTTATTCCGTTTTTGATTATTAGCGGTAAAAGGGACAGAGTAAAAGGGTATGGGAATCAACGATAGGAAGGGATTACAGTTGAGGGTTACTTGCTACCGAGCTAGACGTCTTTTCTTCTTGACAACTTGGTTCTTTCTTTTTTTTTTATTTGCTGTTCACTGAGGTGTTCACGATGTTTGCTATAACGTTTAGTCGAAACGTTGATTGTCTCAGGAATTTTATGTTCAAATTCATAGGATCCATGTTTTATTTCTGTAAACTGAAAGGAAGGAAGGAAGGAAGGAAGGAAGGGTAGTACGAATAAATTTATTTATAATATATACATGTATATCATAAAACAATCAGTCAAAATCTATTTACAGGATTTCTAGGCTATGTTTTTTTTTTGGAGGAGGAGGTGGGGAACAAAACCCACTTTTTCAAAAACATTTTCAAAATCGTCGATACATTTTCATTTGCATCTGGCATTGTAGCAAATCGGTCAAACATCCAGAGTTAATAAAAAATACTATTCCTTTTTTGAGAACGTTTTAAACAATGTGAAGGCTCGTTTGATCGTGATTAAAAAAGAAAAAAAAACAAATGGAAAAAAAAGAGAGAGTGTTTGTGTAAATGAGAAAAGTGTGTATCTGTGTGTGTGTGTGTGTGTGTGTGTGTAGTGGGCCATTGAAGTGTAGGAAAGAAAGAAAGAAAGAAAGAAAGAAAGAAAGAAAAATACAGTTGGTATATCATCGCGTGCTAAAAGTTGGTGGGTAAACGGGCGAGGGGTGGGGGTGGGGTGGGGGGGATTGTGGATGGTTTCTATCTTATCTCGCGTTTAATCAACGTAGTTGGGACCACCACCCCCGCGGGCCATCTCGACACTCCTAAGCTCCGGCAATTACTTAGATGGACGCTTCAAAATCCTACCGCACGAACGAGACCCATATGTGGTATACATGTACGTTTATACTTACGTTAGTAAGTACATATATACATGTGTGTGTGTATTTCCTCTGTGTATTACTCGACGATAGAAGAACGTTCTCCTTTTACTCGAAAGAAATCGAAATTAAAGTCTCGTTTACAAAGGAAAAGACAGAGAAAGAGACAGTGGACAAGATTTTCTGGGTCGAGAGAGAGAGAGAGAGAGAGACAACTAATTTTGTTAATAACATTTATCATTGTTTTTTGTTCTGAAATATTTTTTGTTCAATTTCCTTTTTTTTTTCTATTGTAAAATTTGTTTAGCAACCATATCTCTTTGGGGGTTACTGTTGGATTAAAAGTGTTCCATCACTACCATCACCATCTTTTTGATGTATTTTAATGCACGATGAGACATTTTTAGTTTAACCTAACCTCAAAATAATTATTGCAATGACTGCATATGTATAAGTGTTTAAATTTTCGTCTTATTTATGTAAAAACAATTGATAATATCTTCAACACGTGTGTTAGAAAACAATATGTAATTAAATTACTATTTTTTTTTTATTATTTGAAATCTCCTGTGTCTCAAAGAGTTAAATAAATAATAATTTTAT